AGGGAACCATAAGTAAAATGTTTGGATGCATAATGGTAATGAGATTTTGATTTTTTTTAAATGTGCTTAATTTATGCAGCATAATTAATAGTTTTATGCAAAATATATAACCTTATTGTAATTTAAAATATTATATTTTAACTTTTTAAATGTTTTAATAATTAAAAGCAAACGTTTATTGCATCTATAATGTTTCTCTTATGCATTCTATTAGATACTATGAAATATTCCACTAGGCACTGTTTAGTGACTGAATGTATCTGAATGAGCGAGGTGTGTGTGTGTGTGTGTGTGTGTGTTTAGTCCAGCAGGTGTGGACGCTTCTTCTTCTTCTTCTTCTGCTGCTCACGTGGCGAACAAGAGCGCCGGATGTTTGCTCACACTAAAGCTGTCTCCATGGCAACGAAGAAACCCGTCCGTCAGCGCGAGCAGCCGGCTGCGTCAGTGCTAGAACTGACATAATCGTACTTCCTGTTTCTCAGACGACATTATTACCGGCGGGAGCTTCTCTCGTTATTTTTCAAGTGAACTTCTTCGCCGCGCTCTCACCTTTAACGCCCTCCAGCAGCGCCTCTCCCTCTCACACCTGTATTTCTATATAGTCTTTGCTCACACCTCTGCAGATTTACGACAGGCGAGAGGCAGTGAGGGCCGGTGTTGTGTAATATTCAGTTCCTGTGAAAAACTGTACAAGCTGTATAACTATATTGGCCATGGTATAGTTTTGTGTTGCGCTGAGTTGGTTCCAATCCTCTTCTTCACTGTCAGATGTGTCCTCCTTGCAGTCAAAGTCATAGATAAATCCAGTCAACAGATAGCCCACATTAGTAGGAATAGCTAGAATATTGTAATAGCAACCTACTGTGGTATGATATGATTCTGTGTCAGTCTCATAGCATGGGGAACAGTTCTCATCTTCACTGTTAGATGTGTCATCCTGGTAATCAGAAACACATACAATTATGTGACTTTGTTGCTCAAATTAAAAATATTAAAAATTACAAATAATTTATGTGGTGATCATTTTAGTCATGATATACTGTATTACAGGGCTCTTCAAATCTGATCCTGGAGGGCCACTGCCCTGCAGAGTTTAGCTCCAACCCTGATCAAACTTATCTACCTGTGATTTTCTAGTGATCCTGAAGACCTTTAATAGCTTGCTCAGGTGTGTTTTGATCAGGGTTGGAGCTAAACTGTGCAGTGCAGTGGCCCTTCAGGACCAGATTTGAAGAGCCCTGCTGTATTATGATAGTAAAGTAACATCTTAGAATGGTATGAGACATTAGCTGCATTTAAGCTTTGTACTTACTTGACGAACTGGATCTTGCAACCATGCTTTATATTGCTTTTTCCTAAATCCTTAAAGCAACATAAAAGAATCATTTAAGTTATTCGATTATTGTTTGTTTTGCTGTAATCAGGCAAAACAGCTTAGACGATTTATCATATTATTACACAAACTATGCTGTTTTGACACTGTTGCAGTTAATGCTTTAATGCTAAACATTGATAGGCCTACTTCATTACCTTTTCGAAATAATCCATTAAACACTTAGCGATTTGAGGAGCATGCACTAATATTTTCAGTTCCATTCATTTGCTCGTTGTCTCAAGGACACGCCCACACTAGGGGAACTAATGAATAATCATGTAAACTCCACCCACTCGAACAGTTTTTCACAGGAACTGAATATTACACAACACCGGGTCACCATGGCAACATAACAGGTAAATAGAGAGTAAGATAAGAGAGTGAGGCGGCTGATCAGCACATACACACACAAGACTGCACATAAAGCCGCCCACAGATACGAAGAACCTGCACTTTCCACCCTCCGTCTGATTGTCACACATCCGCAGGTCAGACACAATTAGCTGGAAGTGCAGAATGGGGACGATGATTGTTTGGAAGAAGGAATCAATCAATATTTGTTCTAAATGACACATGTTCAGTTAGGCTTAAATGAAACGTTATCTTTTTACGTTATATTTACATTTAGTCATTTAGCAGACACTTTTATCCAAAGACTTACAAATTATGACAACAGAAGCAATCAAAACCAACAAAAGAGCAATGATATGCAAGTGTTATGACAAGTATCAGTTAGCCTAACACAGTACACATAGCAAGGTATATATATATATATATGTAATTATTATTATTATTATTAGTTTATAGTTTTTTTAAGTCTTCCAGGCCAGATTATGTCTAGTAGGCTTAAGTCTTCCCGGCCAGTTTATGTCTAGTACGCTTAAGTCTTCCAGGCCAGTCAACGTCTAGGTTTAAGTCTTCCAGGCCAGATTATGTCTAGTAGGCTTAAGTCTTCCCGGCCAGTTTATGTCTAGTACGCTTAAGTCTTCCAGGCCAGTCAACGTCTAGGTTTAAGTCTTCCAGGCCAGATTATGTCTAGTAGGCTTAAGTCTTCCCGGCCAGTTTATGTCTAGTACGCTTAAGTCTTCCAGGCCAGTCAACGTCTAGGTTTAAGTCTTCCAGGCCAGATTATGTCTAGTAGGCTTAAGTCTTCCCGGCCAGTTTATGTCTAGTACGCTTAAGTCTTCCAGGCCAGTCAACGTCTAGGTTTAAGTCTTCCAGGCCAGATTATGTCTAGTAGGCTTAAGTCTTCCCGGCCAGTTTATGTCTAGTACGCTTAAGTCTTCCAGGCCAGTCAACGTCTAGGTTTAAGTCTTCCAGGCCAGATTATGTCTAGTAGGCTTAAGTCTTCCCGGCCAGTTTATGTCTAGTACGCTTAAGTCTTCCAGGCCAGTTTATGTCTAGTAGGCTTAAGTCTTCCAGGCCAGGCTTTTCTTCTAAGAAAGAACACAAACAGGCAAAAGGACTTCATATAAGACAGCTGGTGCTCATACTTTTCCATTCACAGCCTTTGTGTAAATTTCATCTCGATAAATCCTTCCACACGCATAATAAATTGTATAGGGTTAGGAAAAAGCCATGTCTCCAGTGCAACGCACAACTCATCTTCTGCAGGACTTTAATAAACATTCATGCCAGTAAAGCAAACACTTAGAGCAGGAGAGCATTTCCAAATGGGACAATAATGGGGGAAAATGGAAATCCATAACATGGGGGAACGTTTTACTGGAATCGAGCCTAATGTGCTGCTAGGTAAGATCAGCTAAATTTCAGTGTCCCTGGCTAGTGTACTGAAACAAACAGGAACGAAGGAAGTATATGCTGGATATATTTGATGCTGCCTTGAAATGTGACACTTTAAAATAAAGCGTCTACTTAATATGCATAAATGTTTTCAGTTTCATGTGGCGTCTACTTAAGTATGTCTATAAAACTGACTTGCAAAAAACAGCAACCTGTCCTAAATGAAAAATGGAGAAAAAAACCCCCCATGAGATACAGGCTTTGCATGCAAGTTCAGATATGCACTATTTAGTTCAAGACAGATTACTTATCGCTGTAAGTTCAAACGTGCTAAAGGAAGTTTGAAACTAGGCTAACAAACCCGACACATTCAATAGATCAATTAGGTCAAAACACTTGATTTGCACACTTACTACAGCTGAGCAAATGTTATCACAGCGCATGCCGTTAACATCTCGACTACCGCTTTCAACAGAACTGCTAAATACAGAATACATCTCTACAGTTTCTCACTGTAATTAAATAAACTGTTTACACACGCCAGGCCAAGTGAAGTAAATCAGAGTCTCTTGTGAATAACAGAAATGTACAGTAGTTGATCAGGAGATTGTTGGATTGCAGATAGTGAAACACGACTGCCCTCTGCTGGCCGTAAAGTGACAGAATAATAAAGATGCAGCATATTTTTAGAGATGAAAACACACATTGGGGTTTTTAATTATTTAACGCCTTAGGACACTCAAAAGGGATCACAGATGACAAATAGCTAAGAAACACCGTGGCAGCTGTCGATTTAAATAGTATGCACATTTCCTACCTGATTTGTAAATGAAATTCATCTCCAATTCTTCTATAGTTTCAAGTTTATCCATTATTCGAATGCAAGAAAAATATAGCTGGTTTTCCAAGTAAAACGGCCAAATAAGGTTTACACGTAGTTACGTTATGATACGCAACCGCAATTGGTAGATTTAAAGAAAAGTGCTGCCTTTTGGCAAATAAATCATTGTACGTACTTATTCCTAACTCTTTAAGCTTTCAGTTACACTTCAAATGACAAGGGATCAACTTATAATCATGTTTATATGAATTATCCCCTGAACGTATTCTCTCAAATGGCCTGGGTATTAGTGTTGGGTATGCGGAGCATTCGCAGCTTATGGAAATAACGCCACTGATATATATATATATATATACAGTGGGTACGGAAAGTATTCAGATTAATTTTATTTAATTAAATTAAAAAAAAAAATTTAATTAAATTTTTCACTCTTTGTTATTACTAATCAAAAATTAAGTTTTGATATATTTATTGTAGGAAATGTACAAAATATCTTCATGGAACATGGTCTTTTTTTGGCTATTGCTACAAATATACCTGTGCCACTTATGAATGGTTTTGTGCTCCAGGGTCTCTCTCTCTCTCTCTCTCTCTCACACACACACACACACACATATATAATTAATAGTTAATTATGTTTTTCACTTTATATTAATCAAAGAATCCTGAAAAAGTATCACAGGTTCAGCACAACTGTATCCAACATTGATTATAAATCAGCATATTAGAATGATTTCTGAAGGATCATGTGACACTGAAGAGTAATGATGCTAAAAATTCAGATTATAAAGTATAAAATAGAAAACCATTATTTTAAATTGCAATATTTCATATATTTTTATAATAATATTAATATTATAATATTTTTTCTATAGTTTGGTCAAATAAATGCAGCCTTGATAAGCATAAGACATGCCTTTAAAACATTAAAAATCTTACTGATCCCAAACTTTTGAATGGCAGTGTGTATAATGTGTTAAATAAAAAGAAATGAAACCTTTTTTTATTATACATTCTATTATACATTATTCAATATTTCAGTAGGTGTTGATGATTCATTTATTGTCCATGCAATTTAAGCATAATAATGTAAGTTACAAATATCCAGATAAAATAAAATACACAAACAGCGCACAAGCTGTTGTGCATTAACACTGAAGGATGCAATGCAATAAAATACACATTGTACCATCTCAAAGAGGTACAAAATGAAAATATAATACCTATATATATATTAATAAATAATTGAATGCAACTTCAATCTAATAAAGTTGTTTCTGAACATATTTTGCCAGACAAAAGCACACAAAGATCATAAGAAACTAAGATGTTTAAATAGATAATTATATATGATTTCATAAATTTAAATAGAGCATTTAAAGCATCTGCACTGAAAAACAAGCAAACAGGAAGACAGTGAGGAGAGGTGAAATGTTTAAATAGGTTTCACAAGAGAAAAGCATCAATCGCTCTTCTTTTCCTTGATCAACCTGCTGGCGTTGTGTGCAAACGTTTCAGCCACTAAAAGTGGAAAGACTATAGAAGCATCAGCGTAGACCTGCACAAAACACAACAGCACAGTTACCAGATCATCATATTACTAAGAGTAGAATGTCATGTCATATTCAGATTTAATCTTACCTTCACAGGTGTGGCGTCCATGCGGATCTTTCCCCAAGAAATGGCTTCATCTGGCCGAGCGCCGGAATCTGAGCCGTCAAACTCCTGACCAGTGTTGACAAACACCGCAAAATCTGCTCCGTTCCTCTGAGAGCGACCAAAAACAGATGAGAAACACTTCCGATTTCATTTTATGACTCAACATGATTGTGCTTTTTTTGGGTTCATGTGATTACCATGAGATTAGCGTTGGCGATGTGATGTTTGACGAGGCCTCCTCCGAGAATGATCATCCCTGTGGTCTCGGCAAACACTGCCTTGCTGTTCAGACGCCGAATATCTGAAGTATGAAAAATTATCGTAAACGCCACTGTCAAATAATCTCCACACAGGGTTCCCACGCTTCTTGAAAGTCCTTGAATCTGGTGTTCATGAAAGAGTGGGAACCCATCACATCTTGAGCAACTCACCCTCCACAATGTCAAGCACCAGGCCAGGGTTCTTATATGAGTGGAAATAGATCATATCACCCAATGAGCCGTCAGTGAGGGCGGGACTAAACACTGGGATGTCATTCTGAAAGACAATCATACAGTCATTAAGAGATTCAAATTTGTGGAAGGATGCAGGTGAAGGTGACTTGTATGTGTTCAATTCAAATGTTACCTTATAAGCCCAGTAGTACACCGAGTCTGGGTTGTTAATTTCTTTGCCTAGTCTGTGGATCATTTTGGAGGGTGTCCAGTGTGTGCCCTGATGGAAAAACAGCAATCAATGCTGGGACACATTAAATAATTATTTGAATTATTTAATTATTTAAATACAAATTTAAATGCATTACACTCATAGAATCATAAAAAGCTTAAACAATTAAATACCAAAAAATTTACATTTTTTTTTATTATTATTAAAAAAATTTAAATAATGGAAATTTCTTTAGATATTTAAATTCAATTAATTAAAAAATTATAAATAAATAAATTAATTAAATACATTTTCACATGTGTGGGCAATTTGACAAATATTTACAAAATGAATAAATAAATATAAATTAACCACCCCAATTTAATTTAATTTTAATAAATAAAATATTTTTACCTTGTTTTATATATGTATGTATGCATGTATGTATTAGGCATTTTTCATAAGTCTTTAACCACCCAAATAAAATAAAATAAAACATTTCTCACATCTGTTTTTGTTCCAGCAACATTTAGTCCAAAATAAAATAAAATATTTATTCCACCACCATTTGGTTCAGAATGGGCATTTTTACAAATATTTAAACACCCCGATTTAATAAAATAATTAAAAACAATAATGTATTTTAATATTTGATTAATTTAATTTATTTTAAATTAATGTTAATTTAATTTACTTTGTAAAATTGTCCACAAGTGTGAGGTGTTTTTTATTTTTTAAACATATCACCACCCCAATTTAAAAATAAATGAAAATAAAATAAATCTCACCTCTGTTTTTTGTTCCAGCACCATTTGGTCCAGAATAGGCATCAGCCAGTCTTCAAACTTACAGTAATTATCATTTGGTACCAAGAGATTACCTATTCTATGACATAAAGCATAATTATATGTATTAATAATTACTTATAAACACCCCAATGATCTAATGAGGAACTGTTTTCTTACCTGTTAATGCCTTGCTGTCGTAGCTCTTTGCCTTTTAGGCTGAACTCGCCGAGGTAAGTGGGTGCTAAACATTTGATAAAGTCTTCCTCAATCCCTCCTGCTGTGGTCACTATCACATCTACCTACAGAAACATTCAAACAACTCAACATAAATAGATTCTTTTCATTTAATATGAACAGAATAGATAGTGGCAGACCGTCCTAGACAGATGTTATTAGCCGATACAGATCATGAAACATAACGGTGCTCGTACAAAGTCACAGTGTGGCCGTACCATTCTGTGCTGTGCGAGGTAGCGAATGCTCTCTCGCACACCGGAGCTGATCAGGTTGGATGTGTAGCCCAAGAAAATGGTGCATCCTGAAGCAGATGTATGTGAATCACAGCCCTCCTGCACCGGCTCCAGTCTCTTCTCAATCTACTCCAACCACACACACAATCAGTGCTGGAGCTCAAACATGACTTAGAGCTACAAGACTGAGATGATGAGATAACTGATATTTGATTGCTGAGATTATGTTGTTGTGTAGTATACACAAACTAATTGCATGTTTCTGTGATACTTATACGTTTATTGTTTAATCATACCTTTTATAACATATTTACAAGACAAGATTTGATGCATCAGTAATTGATGTCCCATCTGAACATACAATGGCCCCAAAAAGTACTTGGACATGTTATTTATTCCTGTGATGTAAAGCTGAATTTTCAGCATCATTACTCGAGTATTTAAGCAAAGCAAACATGTTCACGTCTGAGATGCATTTTGACATTTATCTCTATATTATATATATATATATATATATATTTTATATACACACACACACACAAAGAAAAACAAGTAGAAAAAAAGAAGATAAATATAGATAATTAAATACTTTTACTTAAAAAAAACTTAGTGTCACATGATCCTTCAGAAATCACTCTAATATTATGATTTACTGCTCATTTATCATAAATTTTATTGATGCTCAATTATTAAGAATGGTTCTTAAATCTCCATCCAAAGACCAGAGGGCGCTCTCGCGCTGAAACTCCAAATATGCCTTTAATAATATATATATATATTATTAAAGGCATATATTATAATTATTATACGCCTATAATAATATATATATATATATTATATACACACACACACACACACAAAGAAAAACAAGTAGAAAAAAGAAGATAAATATAGATAATTAAATACTTTTACTTAAAAAAAAAACTTAGTGTCACATGATCCTTCAGAAATCCCTCTAATATTATGATTTACTGCTCATTTATCATAAATTTTATTGATGCTCAATTATTAAGAATGGTTCTTATTATCAATTTTGAAAGCAGTTTTTGCTGCCTAATATTTTTGTGGAAATTTTGTTTTTTTCAGCATTCTTTGATGAATAGACATTTCAAAAGAACAGCATTTATTAGAAATAGAAATCTTCTGTAACATTATACACATCTCTATGGTCACTTTCTTTTATCAAATTAATGCACCCTTGCTGTATTAAAGTGTTAAGTTTCTTACTTTTTTTTTCTTACCTCAACTTGTTTTAATAGTGCATCACAGTTTCCACAAAAATATTATGCAGCACAATTGTTTCCAGAAGATGACAAAAACCATATAGTCTATAATAATTTTAGTTGAATTATACAGTTCTATTTTTTATTTATTATTCCGAATGTGCCAAATTTGCCGTCCAGCTTTATGAATGAATATGCCTGTTGTATTTCCGGCAAAACGAGCAGAAAATGGCCTACTCCCTCGAGTTCTTTATGAAGAACAGAAAGTCTGCTTTTCAGCCATTCTCTTTGCCATGTCCTTTGTCTTCCTTTTTTTTTCTTCTTTTTTTTGGAGTCACAAGCCGTCTGCCACAAAGAAAACTATTTCGTCCTCAGAATCCATATTTTTATTAATGGCGCGAAACGTAATGCTTACGTCAGAGTTTGTAAAATCGTAGTAAATTCGTGTCGTGTGTGACCGCCTCCTTACGATTTTCGGATAAACTCAATCGTGACATGTGCCAGACCTCACGACGTTCCGACCTTCAGAATCGCACCGTGTACGCCCGCCTTAAGACAATTATACAGAAATAGGCCTACTTTGATGACAGACTTTGCTCAGGCTTTTCAGAACAACCAAAACAACATTTCAGATGCTGTGCAATGAGATGAGTCAAGTTATCCCGTCCCATTGTGCAAAGTCACATGACATTTTTGATGCGCAAGGTGGAAATTATTCGGTAAATGTGTTTCCATCGTAGTTTATGTGCATCTTGGCGTTTCCATCCAGCGGTTTGTTTATGCGATGTTCCAAAATGCGCATAAAAATAGGTGGCTGGAAACATAGAAGACTGGAGTAATGATGCTGAAAATTCAGCTTTGATCACAGGAATAAATGACACTGAAAAATGCATTCCAATAGTTATACTAAGTTGCAATTTTATATTTCACAATATTATAGCTATTTTAAAATGACTGTATAATTTATTAAATGCAGTCTTGGTGAACATAGGATACTTAAAAAACATTTTAAAAATAGGTCACTTTCCTAAGCACCCAACAGTGTGCTGACAGTCAGTCCCTCACCATCTTGTTGATCTCCTGCACGGCCAGGCCGAAGTTGCTGGCCTGGAAGCCCGTGCTGAGGAAGGACTGCAGCAGGGCTCTGTGGTCCACGCCTCGGTTGAAGTCATAGCCTCTGATCTGAGGCATGTCCTCCGGCAGAGCGATGCTCTCCTTCAACACCGCGTCCCTCGCCACGGAGGGCGCCTCAGCCGGGTGGTCGGCCATCATCGCCCCAACTACTGCAACACAGCATACACTCAATTCTACATAGACTTCAACTGTTTCCATACAGTCTTACCAGGGCACGGTCTCAGATGGTAATACCATAATACTCTGGATATATGCTTGGTGTTGAATGACTACGATATGTACTACCTTATTTCAAAGAATGGCATGTTTTTATCATGGTAAGCACAGTTCTTCCAAACGGATCATGTGTATGTCATCTGATGAAAGCAGTTTGAAGACTGCGCAGTTCCAGTGCCGAGATCAAACACTTCAGCGTCAATACTTGATGAAGTGTTAAAAGCTAATGCATGTTTGTTTTCTATTTCTTTGTATCTTTAAAATAAAATTACACTCACCCCAACCGTTACGTAGTCTCTAATACCCGGCTTGTTAATGTAGTTTATTGCTGTTATCTCACTCACAGCGCTGCACACTTGGTCATCCACATGTTCCAAAACAACTACGGCTAGCGCGGCGGTACAAACCAAATACAAAACGCGAAGCGCCTTTAAACAGTACATCAGGATTTGCTGCATTGAGTGGAATGGACTCCTTATGTTTTATATATGCTAAGATTGTAATTAAAACCGGAATATTATGATGCCATTGATTGATGTTGCATAAATGGGGCGTATACATGACCCGGAACAGCATATAAAGGAACAGTTACAAAAGCAGCGTCAGTTAGAGCATAATATATCAATATTTTGATACTATTTTTAAGCATATTTTATTATAAAAATATGTAGGGTGATAATAATTGTTATTGTTAATATATTATAATTATATATATTATTTATGTAGGCTATTTAAAGATATTTTACAGATTTAAATAAATAATTAATTTATGATTGAAATTATTTATTTTAGTCATAGGTATGTAGTTTGTATATACAGTTAACCCCAAAACGTTTTTAAATACTAATGTATGATTATTTTTAATGTAGGCCCATTAAACAAGAAAATATCACAAGATGTGGGACCTCCAAAGTCATTTTCTTTTCTGATCCGTTTTTGGATAATTTTGACTAAATAAAGTCTATTATACAGGCTTTTTATTTATTTATTGCATATAAATATAAATCTTTTTATTATTATTATTTAATTTTAATTTATTTATTTGCTGCAGATACATTTAGACATTTGGAATATTCACCATTTTTAAATGCTTATTTAGCTACATGGCAAATTACAGAACACTTGATTTAATGCAATTTCTATGAAACATTGTAAAACAGGAGCAGGATGATAACACATCTGTGCACACAGTTAAACAAATTCAAGGGAGGTTTCATGAAATCAAATACTACTGAACTTTCATGACATTTCATGTGACCTCAGAACTAACTCCACCACATCACAGGAGCTTTGAAGCTTCCAGCCGTCCGTCCGTCCGTCCGTCCGTGTGTGTGTGTGTGTGTGTCTGTGTGTGTGTGTGTGTGTGTGTGTGTGTGTGTGTTGGAGGATGGAGGGGTTTAACATCCCATTGAGATATAAAAGCCTCCAAAAACTGGACACCAACTCTTCCTCGCTGAAACAAGAACATTTGAGCTCTACACAATGACTGATGGACCCTTGAGGTAAAATTACAGTCATCATCTATCAGACCTAATTATTCATCCATTCGATAGTTTAAGTAATATAATTAATAATAAGGTTAGGGCTGTGCAAATAATCAAATGTGATTGTCATGCGCATCTCATCAGTAAAGCCGGTTCTGTGATTAGTAGTAAATCTCCATCACCCGCTTTCAAATGGAGCAGCATTTAGGCTACTTCACAGAGCCGTTGTTCACTGACAAGCTACGCAATATCGCGTTCATAATCGCAGGCGATTCATCGCCGATAATGGAAGCAGGTGATGGATTTTTACTACTAATCACAGAACCGGCTTTACTGATGAGACGCGCATGACATGATCATCGCATTTGATTTTCTGCACAGCCATAAATAAGGTTATAAACATGGTTTTTCAGGGTGCAAGTCTAATGTTGATACAGCCGTGATGGACGTATACTGCAGTAATAATGTTCTTCAGGCCAGGAGAGCCGTGGAGCAGCTCAGACTAGAGACAGAACTACAGAGAATCAAGGTGAGATGCACTCATCACACCATAATAACACAAAAACAACACCTTTTAGAGTGTATCTTTTGAGTTATTTGTAATTTCATTTGTGTATATGGATGAAAATACGGCTATATGGCTATGACAAAAAAAAAATACCTGAATTCCAAGCACAAGAATAGAATAGAATACAATAGAATAGACACTTAAAAAATCCATGAAACCATCCTTAAAAAACAAAAAGAGAAAGAAAGAAAACTGCAGCTGGTTACGGATTAGTAAAAAATAGGTTAGCAATATTTTAATGTGAGGTTTTACTGAATTAACTTGGGCTACATTTATATAAAAAAAGCCATATATTTCATGAAATGATAGAATCCTAGTAGAAGTACTACTGTTACTGACAACCACCAAAAAGACAAACTCGATCTACTTGTTGATTCAAAGCTCATCATAAGCTTTGTACTTTTTAACTTAGAAAAACGTTATTTTACTGTAAACTTAAATCAGTGGTGTCACTGAGGCACTACCTTTTCAAAATGTACCGTTTGAAGGTAACGTCTCAGTTATGGTACCTTTAAGACGTAAAGTGCAGGCTATACATAGCAACTAATAAAGCAAGAAGCCCCCGCTTCATGGGGCTTATTGCTTTTATAAAACGGTTATTCCATATACGTAGTAAGGTTTCACAAAATAAAACAGAGCAAATAAAGTGTAACGATATTAATAAAAACAGTACTCTTCCACCAAACAGTTCCTCAGAAACAGTTGTGGTTCCAACAAAGTGGTTGCCGAACAGAAGTAAACAAAGGTGTGTGTGTAGAGTAATTTACAACAGCTCTGAATCAGCCAATCAGAATCAAGGACCGGAACTATCTGTTTTATAAACGTACATTTTAGGTCCTAATGTGTACTTTTAAAGTAGCCTACTAAAATGTTCCATTTAAGGGGTAAATACGGTACAATGATGCACCTTTTAGCGTTGGCACCTCAGGATACCTCCCAAGTGACCAGTGTTGGGAAGGTTACTTTGGAAACGTAATAGTTTACAGATTACAAAGTAACCCTTTTTAAAAATGCAATAAGTAGTGGTCAATTACTTTAATAAAGTAATGTGACTGATTACATTTGATTGCTTTTCTAAGTTTTTGTTTTCAACTGTCAATTATTTTGAAACATTTAAAGCAGGCAGGGTTAACCTTACAGTCGTACTCAACACTGATTACTGTCAGACTTTCAAAATCACTTAAATTAAGAGTATAATAATTTAATTTTAAAACACAGCCACTACAAAATCAGACTTTAGCAGCTCTTTTTACTTTGAGATCATTCTGAGGTTAAATACAGATATAAAGTCATGACAAGAAAATTGTTTAATAGCTATGATACTGTTTTCGAAATCAAATCTTTGCATAACTATGACAGGAAACACTGGCATCTAACAAAGCCTGGGAAAAACTGTTAATTTAAAAAAAATTAAGCGTATACATAAACCCAAATAGCAAATAAAACGGTTATCGAATAATCATGTGTCCTGTTCTGTGTACTAAACTCCTGGTGTCTCATAATTTAGAGCAGTCAATGCAATTTATAAAAGAAAGCAATTAAATCTTTGTGTGTGTGTGTGCTGCGTGTGTAAGAGAAATATTCAGATGTAACCCCCTTTGTAATCATTAACATATTCATAAGCAACTGTAATTTAATTACACATTTACTCAGTAACTTTAACTGATTACAGTTACATTTTGTAATTATGTAATTCCATTACATGTAACTAGTTAGTTAGTCAGAAAGAGTGCATACAGTAAAGGAATGTATAGCGTTAACCAAATAACAGGTTTTCACCATAGCATTTTATCATTACATTACATCTATCATATCATGCATATGTTGGTGTGTCAGATTTCGGCAGCAGCAGAGCAGCTTGTTCAGTACTGTCAGGAGCACAGGAGAGCCGACCCGCTGCTGACCGGGATCAACGCCTCCTCCAACCCGTTCAAAGACAAGAAGACCTGCGTGCTGCTGTGAACTGCGTCTGCAGTAGTCGCCCTTTTTATCTGCAGCGTTAAGAACGACACGCTGACAAATCCAACTGAATGATCAAATTGTGCATTTATAAAGCTTTTTAAAAATCAAAGAGAATTTGATCACGGGACATTCAGTCAGTCACAGAACAATACAACAGCACTGTCTGCAATAACTATAAATCATTCATAAATATAGACATTTTAAATCAGGATATTTAGTAGTTTTCTCTGGTCGTGAAGTGCATACATTTTAAAGCATTGTGCCTCATTTGTAAACCGTATACTTGTGTAAGTACACTGAAGTATACAAAAACAAATTGAACTTTAATAACTGATTTCCAAGTTAGTGCACTATATAGGGAGTTAATTACTGAAAACCGAGATATATTTTGATATTTGTTTGTATTATACTGCATGTGTTTTAGAATTCACTGTATTTTCAGACTAAGTATATTACTAGCATCAATTTTGTTGAAATGTTCAAGAGAAGATCACACAAATCTCAAAAGGTGTTCCTGTGTTAAGAGGCACTGAAATGTTTTGCACTCTGTCTGTGCAGTCGTAGTGCGACCCCTTCATGAAGAATGACTAGGAATGTCATATTTTTGTTTCTAGAATCACTAGAAACATGTATCAGACACCTAAAACATTCATTTTTAAATTAAAATGAAACCAATTAAAGCATAATGCATTGATAACTTCCTGGAAACGCAGAGTTGAGGAACTGATTTGTTCTTGTTGTTCCCTGCTATCAGATGCTTTTAGACTCTTAGCATCTGTGCCGCCAAACTTCCACATTCATGTCACCAGAAGCCATGGCCAGTGTTCCTCCTTTAATACTTAACTGAGAAGAGAAAAATCATTTATTTATGATTTTATAAAAGAGTAATAGTGGTATCATCCAACAGAAGTATTTATGAGACATACAGTAATGGCTTTGAACGTAGCTCATCCAATCAGATTTATAGTGCATATGTGTGTTCAGTCTTTTGTTTTTAATTCAAGTGTTATATAATGTGAAGCTCTGTTTGCATTGATTCCAGACAATTCATTTGTGTTGAATAATCCGTTTTTTTGGTTTGCATCCATCAAATTCTAAATAAAAACAGTATATACTGAAATGAGATTAAGTATCTTTTATTAGATACAAATATTTAATTCAATGGATTATCAAAACTTGGCACTATCACATGGTTATGTAATAAATAATGACAAAAAAGTAAATGCACACCTGAATACTAAGTTACTAACAAAGAGAAAGTATAACTGCACGACTCAACCAATAGGTTTTGTAAATAGATAGATAGATAGATTTCTGACATAATATTTAATAAAATTTTACTTAATATAGAAGTAAATATATACTTAAGGTCAGGAATCGAATATTTGTTGTAAAATTTCAATTTCAATTCCGCCAATCACTTCCTTTATGCGATTCCTGTATCTTTTATTTAGGTGGCGAAAAGGGACTATTAAAAATGTATTAGTCTTTGAATCATTCATTCAAGAGATTCATTCAAAAACACTGATTCATCCAGTAAAGAAAATCTCAAAGTAAATCTTGAGTGAGTCATTGAATCATTCCATTCATAAATTCCATGAGATTTTGTTGAATTGTCAAAAAATTTTTTCCTTCAGAATTGTGAGAGAAAAAAATAAAAAAAAATCTCAATTTATCCAGAATCATGCAGCTCTATTTTGTACACAAACAGCTCTTAATCTTAATTAACTGAACGTAATATTTTTGCTAAATATGTTTGATATCTAAATGTTTTTTTTATCCATACTGGAATCGATAAGAATCGGAATCTCAACCCTAGTCTTCAGTGTGAAGAAACATTTCTTAATATTAAGAATCAAAAATGTAATTCTTATTAAGAACTTTTTCAAAGTTGTAAATAAAAACAAAAAATTATTGGAGTGCATTTTACAAGAAAAAACATTTCTTCTAATTTTTTTCTTCAAAATTTTCAATGTATTGAAAATAAAATTTTCTTGGTAACAATTACTTGCCATTTCTTTGTAATTGTTTGTGTAATTTAATAGCGATTTCTGAGTGAAATATGTTCCTAAACCATTTTTTCCCCCAGTGTACAGTTATCCTGCTTAATATTTTTGTGGAAACAGTGATGCTTTTATTACAGGATTCTTTGATGAATATAAAAGTTAAAAGAACAGCAATTATTTATTAAAAAAAAATCTTTTGCAACATTATAAATGCCTTTACTGTCATGTTTGATCAATTTAATGCATATCTGCTGCAAAAAATATAAATTTCTTAACAAAATATCTAACTTACACAATATTTTTTAAACCGCTACTGTATAAGATATAAGATTTTGGTTATATCACCCACTTCTATTACCACTTGAATATAAAAAAACAACAAAAAAAAACAGAGATGAATCATGGGTAAAAATGTCAACATACCCCGTTTACTCCTGCCTGATGGTGAAGGGTGCACAGTGTCTTGGGTGGAGCACATGGAAGGTGGACCTGCATCCAACAAGAGATGTGAGCTGCCAATAACCTTGGATAAAGATCAACTAAACTCTTTTTAACTGACAGAAGACTTGCCTTGATAGTGCGGTCAGAGGAGCACGTGTACAGAGCACCAGGAGAGTAGTGAACGCCGGTGACCAGTGACCTGTGGACGTTAAACTGGGATACGTGCGTCAGGGAGCTGTTGTGCATGGACAAGGTGTGCACGAGTCCACGGTTATCCCCGGCCCACACCTCTCGCCCGCTGTAGGACAGAGACAGCAGGTACGACCTCAGCTGTAGACGTGTGAAGAAGACACAGAGAAGTGCATTAGCTGACTGTAACAGACACTTGTTAGGGTTGTGTGGTTTATTCTTTTATTTGTAGCTTGTGTGTGTGTGTGTTTGTGTATACCTGAACTTTCTGCAGGAGTTTTCCCGCCCTGCGGTCGAACAGAGCGACGGTTTGGTCTTTACTGCCTGATAAGATGTACTGGTCATCAGACGCCAGGCACAACACAGCATCACTGTGAAGACGAAGACTCTTGACCAATGGATCTGCAGCTATATCACATGAATGAGAGCTGTCAGCAAATACAGTTACAAACGACTGCTAGTGTCTGTCTGAGTGGACTTCTCAGGGTATTCGGCCATCTTTAAAGTGTACACAACATGTGTGTGTTGAAATATACACCATTCAAAAGTTTGGAGACGGTAAGATTTTTTTATGTTTTTGAAAAAAGTATCTTATGCTCACCACGACTGCATTTATTTGATAAAAAATACAGTAAAATCTGTAATATTGTGAAGATGTTTACAGTTTAAAATAACTGTAATCTAGTGCAATATATATATATTAAAGTGTAATTTATGCCTGTGATGTAAAGCTGAATTTTCAGCATCATTACTCCAGTCTTCAGTGTCACATGATCCTTTTATTCTGCCTTTTATAAAGCACAGAAGCTTTGATATGTTGTTATTTAATGCAAATACATTTATATATTTCTAATTGTAACTTAATTGTGCAAATACTTTTTGGGGCCTCTATGTCATAATGTATATGGAGGCCCCATAACATGTCATAAACAACCCAAATCACTTATTTTCTCATTAAACATTGCAACAGTCATTTATCTCTAAATTTGGTGTTTTAGGTATGAATATTAATTGAAATAAATATTTAAAAAATGTGACTAAATTTGAATCATTGATATGCAATTTTGCTATTATTAACAAAAACTACAACTATTACAAACAATTTTTGGTAATTAAAATAAAGCTGAAATGAAATGAAATAAAATACAAATATTATATATATATATATATATAATTTTTTTATTATAGTTGTATACTTATTAAATTATACTTAAATATACTTAACTTATACTTAAAAAAAACTTAAAAATGAGAAATGTTGCCTTGCCAACTATCTGAAACAAATAGGCTGAAGTACTACAACTGCTAAAACTAAAACTGAAATACAAATAAATTAAAGCTATCTAGAAATATAATAAAAACCAGTCTAAATAGAGAAATTAAAAAATAAATTCAAAGCACATATCAAAATGACCAAACCTAAACTAAAATTATAATGAAAACTGACAATATAAAAATAAAAGCTAATTCAAAATATTAACAAATACTACTACAATAGTATATAAATAATACTAAATCAACTCTTTTCACGTGTGAATCATTCACAACCAATAAATCATCCACGATAAAACTAGGAACGAGCTTTAAGAAAATAAATATCCTGAACCTCGACTCACCTCGGGTGTCAAAGATGCTTAATTTCTGATCATGTGACCCGGCCAGCACCATGTCCCGCTCGCAGGACAGACATAATACAGCAGCTTTGCACTGGATGAGTCCCCGTTCTGCTCCTCCGGCTTCAAGATCCCAGAGCCTGACGGTGCTGTCAAACGAGCCAGACGCCAGCAGAGGTCCGCTGGAGGCCAGGCACCACACCCAGCCCCGGTGGGTACTAATGGTCCCGCGTCCCGCTAGAGTGTGCATCAGCTTGCCTCTGGGACTCTCTCGAAGGTCCCACAGGTTCACGTTTCTGTCCCGAGAGCCGGAGGCACACAGCGCCTCTTCTCCACCCAGAAGGAGGACACAATTCACATCTGCAATGTGGCCAGAGGGAAGGATGATGTGCTCCAAGGGTGAAGAAGTGCTGGATGACTCAATCAGATGGGGACTATCCGAGGTATTCTGGGATTGAACTTGCACGTTCTCTTCTCCTGCTTCCGCTGCACCGTTTAAATCGGCATCCAGCTGCATCTCTACCAAGTTCTCACTGTTCACCCCACCAGCTGCCTCTTCCTGTCTCTCTGCCTGATTCTCATGCCCTGTCCAGCAGCCAATCAGCTGCTCCATTTCCAAGCATGCCTTGGACCAATCAAAATCCTCCTTTGGCCCGACTGGGAAAGATGCTGCGGGACCCGAGAGTTTTTGAGCCCGAAGCTGCCACGCCAAGCGATCCTCGCCAAGCTTTCCCAATGTCTGGCATACCTAAACACAGACGAACAGCAAGAGTTCAAGTTTTTTTTGAACGAAATGAACACTTCCAGTCAGCAGGGATGCATTAAATCGAAAGTGACAGTAAAGACCTTTATAATGTTACAGAATATTTCCATTTCGAATAAATGCTGTGCTTTTGAACTTTCTATTCATCAAAGGATCTTGAAACAAAATGTATCACAGTTTCCACAAAAATATGAAGCAGAACAACTGTTTTCAACATTAATAATAATAATAATAATAATAAATGTTTCCTGAGATTAAAATGATTTCTGAAGGATCATGTGACGCTGAAGACTGGAGTAATGATGCTGACAATTCAGCTTTGAATCACGGGAATAAATTGTGTTTTCAAATATATTCAAATAGAAAACAGTTATTTTAAACTGTAATAACATTTCACAATATTCACAGTTTTTACTGTATTTTTGATTAAATAAATGCAGCCTTGGTGAACAGAAGAGACTTCTTTCAAAATGATTACAAAAATATTATTGACCCCAAACTTTCAAACCAAAAGGTTTAAGGTTTATAGGATCTCTGAGCACAAAAACAATTGTTTATCATATAAAAGTAAGCAAAAATTCTTAAAATGTATTATTACTATTAATAATATATCAAATGTATTAATATTAGTAAGAACTGCATTCCCATTTAGTGAAAGAAGCATGCCCTGAATAGAAGAAAATGTCAATTTTGGCTTCTAAACGTCTCTTGAATTTGAAAATGCTTACCTGCGGCAGCACATTAATGACACACTGTGCTGGGAGATGCGAGGCTATCTGGGTAACTATCTCCCATGGCAACGACAGGAGGGTTGTTCCGTTGCTAGAAGGAGAGGGGCTTGTCTCCATAGCGCTGACGGATGGTTCCAAATTCAATCTGTGAGGGTAAACGTCAGAATGCACAAGTCTGAAATTTAAACTAAAGTTTGCAAACATACAGAGCTCATACAGAGTCCCTGCAGTCAGTAATAAACCACACAGTAAACTATAATATATTACAGTGAATGCTGAAACAACTTTTAATACAGACCTCTCTGGTAAGCTGGGTGGATCGGCCCCAGCAGGGCATCTCTGCTTCTCCTCGTCCTCCAGGGCGACGCTGGCTCTCGACATCGACTGAATCACAAGAGCATAAAATGATGCTGCCATCACTTTCTGTTATTCACATATATATTAACCAATTTACTCTGAACAGATGAATACTGCATATGTTACCCTGACTACATCCAAGCTGAATAGTAGCCAACATGGCAACATTATGTTCTTCTTAGCAACTAACATATAATAGAAAAGACAACAACAACAACAACCGTTTGCTATAGATACAGATTATATACAATAGATGCCAGTTGTCTCATTTTTAGATGCTTACTGTATAAATACCTAATTAATTAGGAATAGATAAATGATCGTATTATGCTATATATAATAGACTTTATAAATAGGATTTAGGTAAATATGAGATATGGTTGGCACATACCTTATTTTAATCGAAAATCCTTGTATTAAAATACAGACTGAAAGGGTAAACAATCCACATTTTTCGTCCACCTGGTTTTTGTCATGAATTCTTAATAATTTTGACACTGATTATGACACTACACAATCATCTGTGTACACCCTGTTTTTATATCTGATTTCCCTTAGGTTACGTATGTTAAAGGTGAGCGCTGATATCAGGCGAAAGAAAAATCATAGATTTTTGATCATCTTCAACGGAGAAAATACGACTACAGTTATATTGGCATCTCTGTGACTGGCACCTACAGACGCTTGTCAACTCCGGCGCACACTATTTGTGTCATCGGTGTTTCCGCGTCGCGCGTCGTGACGACAAGGAACGCCAAACTCGAGGTAAGTAAAGTAAAATTTTGACACTGATTATGACACTACACAATCATCTGTGTACACCCTGTTTTTATATCTGATTTCCCTTAAGTTACGTATGTTAAAGGTGAGCGCTGATATCAGGCGAAAGAAAAATCATAGATTTTTGATCACCTTCAACGGAGAAAATACGACTACAGTTATATTGGCATCTCTGTGACTGGCACCTACAGACGCTTGTCAACTCCGGCGCACACTATTTGTGTCATCGGTGTTTCCGCGTCGCGCGTCGTGACGACAAGGAACGCCAAACTCGAGGTAAGTAAAGTAAAAAAAAAAATGTAATTTTTTACCTGGCAAGTTACCTATTTCCTTATCTAACTTCCATCAGCAATGTCTTCTTTCGTGGAAATTGTGTTTTGTCCATGGTTTCTCCCCCCACAAAGTTCTTCTTTGGAATAATGCTGATATAACTGTTAGAAATAAGTCTCTTTTCCCCCCTAGATGGTTTAATAACAACTTGAACAGTATTCTATCTGTGTTTGATGATTTTGGTAATATTTTTCATTTACGAACAATTTATGAATCTCCATACTTTTCCAGTCCCACCAAAGGAATATAATACTTTGATGCGAGCCATCCCAGTAGGCTTAACCCAGTTAATTCAAAGTCACCTTAAATTCAGTAAAGGCAACAGTGTTTATCCGGCTTTATATTTGGGTGGTATCGGTATTTTACATCAGAAATGCAATAACAAAATATTTCAGACAAAGAGAAAGATTACTCCAAGAGGGAAATTCTATAGGGGTTCCTTTATAACAAATATAAATTGGAAAAAGGCCTGGCTTTTGCCAAGTACATTTTGCATTTCTAACAAGGTCAAGGAGATTCATTATAAAATCCCTCATGAAATTTACCCCGTTAATTTGTCTATTTCTAAATATTCTAATGTTGATGAATCTTGCTCGTTTTGTGGTTTTGTTGAGGAAACCGCTGCCCATTTGTTTTTTGATTGTGGTGTTACCAACAAATGATGGGTTGACTTAAGCACCTATGTTTCTAACCTTACAAATGTGTCCCATACCTTCGTCCTCGAAGAAGTTATCTTTTACTATAAAAATCCAAAGCTATTATCTGTTGAATATGTTGTTGATTTTCTTATATTGAATGCAAAATTCTTCATTCATAAGCAAAAATGGCTTAAATCTCCTTTGTCTTTCCCCCTTTTTCTTGTTGAATTGGACTCTCTTGTTTCATCTCTTAGACTTACTAATAACAGAAAGAGTGCCAAACTTTTGATGTATTATGACAACTTTTCTAAAAGAATGTAAGTTTATTTTTGCACTTTTATGTATCGATAATAATTAATTTGACATGCAAATACAGAATATTTGTTTTCTGTTTTTACTTTTATATTTTCTTTTTGTTGGAATATATTCATGTCTCGCTTCCCTGTTTCTGTATGTTTCTACAAGTTTTGCAAAAAAAAAAAAAAAAAAAGTATTTATTTGTTTTATTTTATGTACTTTTAAGTGTATTTAATCATGTTGTAATATTGAACAAAAACAAAACAAACGTTTCATAATATACCCTTTCACAAGTAGGCAACATTTTCCCAAATTATTATTATTATTATTATTTTTCATCATGATAGACGTAATTTCCCAATGGCACTTAATTTGAAATACTCCACTATTCATGATAACCCTTTTTATTTTAAAATCGGATCTTATTTTCAAATTAAACAAGATCGTGAATATATTGTGGGTCGTTAAAGAGATTATGCCTGTTATGTCTGTAAAAACAAATGTAATATCTCTAGTTGCAGCTTAGCACTTAAATCATCAAGAAAACGCAATAATGCAAATGTGAAGTCATGAAACACAGAATTTATACTGTAGTAAATGCAAAATATCTGAAAACATGAGATGATGCAATATTTTAGGTGAGTTGTGAATTTTCCCCCCCATTATTGATATCAATAACAAAATATATAGGTCTAGTAAAAATGCACTGAGATTAATTACGCAATACTCATATGTTTAACATTATATATTGAAGACGAAAATATACGGCTTTTAATTTTAAATTTAAAATGAGGCAGAGCCTTTCTAATAGTTTATGTCTGTGTCAATAGGTGTGATCTGACTCTGTACACAATTACAGTCAGGTCAAAGTCCAGCACATCCCTGTAGAGACACAAACCCATTTCACAACCTCATTTGTTTGCTTTATCTACTGCAATATTCAAATTCACTTCTCTGTATAAGACAATAACTAAGGTACAGTGGTGAAAGCATACTTTTCAAATGAAATGATTCACAAACTATGATCTCGTGACCTGGGATAAAGATTTTGCAGTGATGTTGTCACCATTATCAATGCTTAGAAACTTGGCAGATGATGAGTAATTAGTTGGATATTTGGACCTCAAAGATGACATTTTAGTTAATGTGAAGTAAGGAGAGTACTCTAGCATACTATGTTATTTCTATAGCACCTTTTATACATACAATGCAGTTCAAAAATATATAAATTATTCAGAGAATAAAGCATATAAAAACAATAATAGGGAACAACAATGACAAAAATACATATAGAAAATTAATATACAGTAGCACTTTATTTTACAGTCCTGCTTCACATGTACATACTATGTTGTTAACTATAAGTAAGTATTAAGTGTAAGTAACTTATAATACAGTACTTTTTAGGCAAGTACACTGTAAGTACACATACTGTAAAATAAAGTGCAAACCTCTTTTCTATAGCACCTTTAAAATGCAACTCAAAATAAATATATAAAAATGAGGGGGGAAAGCATAAAAACAATAATAAGCAACAAAAAAAAATCACAAAAAAGCATATAAAAATAAACATACAACATCAATTCACAACTTTCACACAAAAAAGCAGTTCAAAGTTAAAAATATAAACATTATTTAGGGGACAAAATAATAAAACATTGATAAGCAACCAGGACGACAAAAAAGCTCATAAAAATAAATATGCAATGTTAATTTCCACCTTTCATACCTAAAACAAGCTCAAAATATAAACAATATTTAGGAAGGGAAAAAAAGCATAAAAACAATAAGCAACAAGAATGACAAGAAAGCACATTAAAATGAACAAACACAAAACATATAAATACAAACCAAAAACAAAATGTTATTTCTATACCACCTTTCACATCTAAAATAAGCTCAAAGCTCAAAATATAAACAATATTTAGGGAGAAAGCATAAAAATAATAATAAGCAATGAGAATGACAGAAAAGCATATCTTGCGTTTGCTTTATAAAACGAGAAAGCTCAGAATTTTGCATGGTAAGCTGCCAGGTTTTTGGTGCATATGTCATGGAGAGAAGCTTAACCTGACTTCTTCCGGATTTCATAACCAAAAACCAGAATCAGAAGGCCTTAATTTCTCGTCTTCAGAGCATATCTCTCTGTCTTTTATAGCCTCGTTTCGCAAATAAGAGCTCTAGTAATTTACAGAACATAAATCAAACCCATTATTTCTTCCCTCCACCTTTAGTATTCACATGCTTATCATCTTATTTAGCAATGACAAGTCAGGGTCCACCCAGTTTCTTATCTTCACATTCCACTCATTTGAACTTCACACTGACTGGACATTTACAAACCAGGGCCAATCTACGGATGTGCTACTGATAAGGTAATGAGCAATGAGAGGATGAAGCCACTCCCTGGACCGCTTCCCTTCTGGGTGAGGTTAGTATGTAAAGACTAACCTGGAGTCGACGGACGACGACCAACCGAAAAGCCAAGACATTTAGAGAGTATGAGAGAGAGAAGTCAATGAGAAGACAACATTTTGTAGGCTGAAGGCATCAGAATCGAGGCTGAACATCAATTTAAGTGATATTTAAGGAGGAACAGTGCCATCATCATGGTAACCCTGAACACTCAATCTCTCACCGTGCCGGTGGGAATAATCCGCCTCTTTGAGTTCGCACTAACGCTCATTACCTTCAGCCTGGTGGCTTCTGAAGGCCACAGCAGCTCTTCGTTCTGGGCCTGGTGCATGTTCACCTGGTGCTTCTGCTGTTTCGTGACCCTCCTCATCATCATCCTGGAGTTCACCAGCCTCAACGCCAAGGTGCCCATTTCTTGGGACGACTTCACAACGGCTTTTGCGATGTTGTCCACGCTTATGCTGTTGGCCGCTTCGGTCATCTACCCCACGTTCTACGTACGCTCCTCACAGTCGGTCAGGATCGCAGCCACAGTGATGTCCTGCGTGTGCTTCGGCCTGTACTCAGCCGAGGTGGGACTGACCCGAGCCAAACCCGGGGAGATGAGCGGGTTCCTGTCCACCGTGCCGGGCTTGTTGAAGGTCCTGGAGGCGTTCGTGGCCTGCATCATCTTTATCTCTCTGAATTCGGTCTTTTACAGCAGGTTCCCTGGGCTTCAGTGGTGTGTGGCCGTCTACTCAATCTGCTTCATTATTGCTCTCCTCATCATCATCCTCACCATCGGCAGGTTGTTGGCTCGAATCCCCATCCCGCTGGACAAATGTCTGACGGGGTACAACATACTGGCGGTTTTAATGTATCTCACGGCTGTGGTGATATGGCCTGTCTACAGTTTCCAAAACAATCCAAGACCACCAGTCTGCAATAACTGTTTCTGGGATAGCCTGGTTGTTGTGTCCTGCATGACTTGCATCAATCTGATCATCTACATCGTGGATACGGTTTACTCAGTGCGTCTGGTGTTTGTTTCACCTGCCTAGAAAATCACAACGGTTGTGTGATGAAGTGCTTGTGATGTTCCTCATTTGTAAGTTTTGAAATGTAAAATCTATTAAATGTAAATGTAACCAGATTGTGGCTTGGAGGAGAAGTACAGTTGTTATATATATATAGGCAGTTTTAAATATGCACATACTGGTTTTGTTATCTTATTATTGTATTAAAATGACTGAAAGTTTATTGATATTAGTGCATTCTAAACAATGTTATCAGAATTATTAAAAATAAAAAATATGACAAACACATAACATATAATCATTTAAACATGATTTTTTTATGTATCTATTTTGGTTTCACAGACTTGTTCTCTGTCACTATCAATGTTTGCAAATAAACTAGCCAGTGAAACCGCAGAAAGTGAAAGAAAGAGAGGAAACATCAGTTTGCCTCCATCGTTATGGATTTATAGCATCATAACTCTAACATTTAGTGTCAGTGTAATATTGATCTTTGATCCTAATGTTGACTCTCATGTAACATATGCTTACAACACAGATAATGTTAATGTACTAAAGGTTATGGGGATAACAGCAAATAATTGAGTGCTGAGCGCTGAGAGATGTTGAAATTCTCAATGAACTTCAACATTCTCATCCTCAAAAAACCTCATGAATTTTGTTATCAGTGGTGTTTCAGGACTGGAGTAACCAACACAATCCACTGGAAATACACCCACTAACATTATCCAATCAGTTGGATATTATCCTATTTATTTTCACCCAGAATATACTGTTTCATTCAGAAATGCATTAAAATATAGAAGTAAAATGACTTGTGAATGCCATTTCATGTTGTGAGGTGATGCAGTTTTTTTTTGTATTAAACGGGTCATATGACGTTGCTAAAAAATAACATTATTTGGTGTATTTGGTGTAATGAAATGTGTTTATGCGGTTTAAGGTTAAAAACACATTATTTTTCACATACTGTACATTATTGTTTCTCCTCTATGCCCCGCCTTTCTGAAACATGTCAATTTTTACAAAGCTCATCGGTCTGAAAAGCGAGGTGTGCTGTGATTGGCCAGCTATCCAGTGCGTTGTGATTGGCCGAATACCTCAAGCGTGTGACGGAAATGTTACGCCCCTTACCATACTGTGATGCCCTGTCCGGCCGGAGCGACGAGACAAAAACATTAAAACCCATTATAAACGAGGCATTTGTTGCATCCAGTGGGGACATAATTACGGATTATAATGACTTACACTGTTTTTTCACATTAAACCATGTCTGCATTTGTGATCGGAGAAACGACAAACAACAAGTGCTACTCTACACTGCCCAAAACTCGCGTTTGAATCATCAGTGGCAAATTCTTTAAATATAAAAACGTACTTATAGTCTGTGAGTCAGCATTATTTGTCAGCATCATAGACTGTGGTCAGCATGCGCGCCGAAGGGGAAACAGGGGAACTAAATTCACCGGAAAATTGGCGGCTACTCCAAGGAAACAGTCCTCGTCCTCCGTAAAATGCGTTGCACACATCTGAATATTTGGGTTGAACTGTTCTGGAACAGTGTTGTAAATACAACTTAACCACTGATTTCTAGTCATGTCCTCTTTTGGAAAGCCAAACAAAGTAGTTTCGCTTTCACAACAAAAACACAGCGTCTTCACGACATGGCGGCAGCAACAATACTACAGCCAGAATAAAAGTTATGCCTTCCTTCTTTGCGTGAACATTTGGGCGGCGTTATGCAAATCTTCCCACACTGTGACGTAGACATGTGGGGGCGTGTTTAAACGAGGCATTTTAGGAGGGCGTGGACAAGTCTTAACTTTCATAAAGAATATATTTTTGGATTTGAAACTTTAGTCTTTGCAACTTTACAGATCTTCTTTATGCACCAAGAGCTTGTAACACTCCAAAGAGAAAGGAAAAATTGAAATCGCATCATATGACCCCTTTAAATTAACTATTGCTTGTAACCTCTCTGCTCTATTTCACATTCTATCAGATTATAGTTTGTCAGCTAGTGCAAGTTTAATTTAATTTCCAATTACATTTCCGTTTAAACATCAAACTAACAGGGATAATGTACAGTCAAGTTGAATGCCAACACACGTTTTATTGTTTTTTTGAGTTTTTAAAAGTTGATCTTGAACATCTTTTTTGTTGTTGTTGTTTTATCTATCTACAATTATATTTTAACCTGGATTTCAACATGAAAATAGCAGCTGGCATTTAAAACAACACAAACAGACAGAGGTAAAACAGTTAAAAAAATATTTGTTCGGTTTAAATGATAAAACATTTGAAGAGGAAATCAAAATGAGATCAAGTAACGTGACACCTTCTGGTAAAAAAAATTTCACCTTCTGGCCTCATAACTTTAACGTTTCATATCATAATTCAACTTTTTGTTTCATAATTATCACTTTATGTTATAAATCTGACTTATGTCACCATTTTATTTAAACTTTTTGTCATAATTTCAACTAATGTCTAAATATGACTTTTTATCTCATAATTTCGGCTTTTTATGTTGCATAAAATTAGTAATTTTTACCAAAACATGGTTAATTATTATTATGCTGTGCAAATGGGCTTCAGTATCAAATGAAACCTAAGATGTCCAGCAATGAAGATGAAAGCTCTAAATTATTTTACAAGCTGTAGACAAAGAAAGAGTTCTGCAAGATTGTTTGCTTTATCTGTAAAACATTCTTGGTCTATATAACCTATAGTACTCCACATCGTGCTGTTATCAGGACAAGTAAAAGAATAATCCAAATGGAACTTTCCTGTGATTAAACCAAAAGGTATCTTGAGTTGGGACTGAAGCCCATAGGTGGAAGTGATTAGAAAGAGCCTGGCTTTAGACCAGAGTTCAGGGTTTGGAATCAGCTCATAGGACAACAGCAGACCAGCAACCAATGAGAACCAAGAGAAAGGCCATGAATGCGATAAGCTCGAAAAGGCTTCTGTTCTAGTGTCAACATGATCAAACATGTTTGCTGCCACATGAGAAGGAACTGAAGTTTTACTACAAAGAAGAACTTTTGGCTACTGACTTTTAAAGAGTCCCTGTGGAATAGAAAAACCAGAGGACAACGTGAGGAGAAAAAGGAGTTTGACTGGATTTGTTGACATTTGTGGCACGGTGAAATTGCATAAAGATGCTCGGAAGAATGCAACGCCATTTCTAAAAATCGGAATCATTGGAAATCTGAAAAAATTTGGGATTCCTGAAACAGTTTCATCATGTTGCATGTGGATTTCAGATCACTGATTCTGCCTATTGGCATTGTTCGGATGGTGGAGGTGGTTCTAACATGCATCTGCTTTGCATTGGCGGCATCAGCGGGAATCCCAAATGAAGCCAAGTCCCATTGGGCTTGGTGCATGTTCTGCTGGTGCTTCTGCTGTTTCACAACCCTCCTGATCATCATTTTGGAGTTTACCAACCTGAACACCAAAGTGCCCATTTCCTGGGAAGACTTCACCATGGCTTTTGCTATGTTGGCTACACTTATGATGGTCACCATTGCAATCATCTACCCCACGTTCTTCGCCTGCTCCTCCTGCTCCAGGCAGATCGGGGCATCTGCTGTGTCCTGGTTGTGTTTTGGGCTCTATGCCACCGAGGTCTGGTTGGTCCACAAAAGGCCTGGTGAAACTAGCGGCTTTCTCACCACCATTCCTGGTCTCCTCAAGATCCTGGAGACATTCGTCGCCTGCATCATATTTATGTCTTTGAGTCCCGTCGAATATAGGAAGTCTCCGGGAACAGAGTGGTGCGTGGCTGTCTACTCCCTTTGCTTCATTTTTTCATTGCTGATTATTTTCCTCACCATTGCCAAGCTGTCTTCCATCTTTCCATTTTCTTTTGACAATGTGGTCATTAGCTTCAACATCCTGGCTGTGGCTATGTACGCAACTGCTGTTGTTATCTGGCCGCTGTATGCGTTTGACAATAACTCACGTCCAACAGATTGTAAACGCTGTCCGTGGGATAATCTGGTGGTGGTGACCTTCATGACCGTCATTAATTTCTTAGTATACATTGGAGATATGGCCTACTCTGTTAAAATAGTATTCTTTACCCAACATGGGCAAGAGTAACCCATGCCATATCTTTGGTTTAACATGAAAAAATAATGTATGTAACGTGAGTAAGGATGTTATTGAGAGAGAGTTCTCCTATTAAGGAGAGTCGCACATGGTTAATATTTATTAGCAAGTCATGTTTCGTGGGTTAGTTTTGAAACCATATGTAGCCTACTACCGGTACTACAGTATCGATTAATGTCACTCCGCAATAATATACTTGACTGTAACTTTGTACAGTGATTTTTATTTTTATATGTTACCAATCTTATTTTTGTCTGTTGTTGTACATTTTCGCAGAAAGCCGAAAGGTTGTATGATGTGAGAAATATTCAGAGACAAATTAGAAGTTTTTGAGATTTCGAAGCAGTTTTTAATCTAAAGCCAGCGTAAGCAGTGTCACAAAAAATGAAGAAATGGTTGAAGTTTACCCTGTTGATTTTAAGATAAAAAGATAAAAAACAACAACATATTTTTACCTTGTGTCTGTGTTTTATTTGTTATAATATTAAGGACATTTTTATGTTAACAATTTAACGTGAGTAAGGATGTTATTGAGAGAGAGTTCTCCTATTAAGGAGAGTCGCACATGGTTAATATTTATTAGCAAGTCATGTTTCGTGGGTTAGTTTTGAAACCATATGTAGCCTACTACCGGTACTACAGTATCGATTAATGTCACTCCGCAATAATATACTTGACTGTAACTTTGTACAGTGATTTTTATTTTTATATGTTACCAATCTTATTTTTGTCTGTTGTTGTACATTTTCGCAGAAAGCCGAAAGGTTGTATGATGTGAGAAATATTCAGAGACAAATTAGAAGTTTTTGAGATTTCGAAGCAGTTTTTAATCTAAAGCCAGCGTAAGCAGTGTCACAAAAAATGAAGAAATGGTTGAAGTTTACCCTGTTGATTTTAAGATAAAAAGATAAAAAGCAACAACATATTTTTACCTTGTGTCTGTGTTTTATTTGTTATAATATTAAGGACATTTTTATGTTAACAATAAAAAAAAAAAATTAACTAACATTTTTATTGACATTTAACCTTGTCCATTAACATTGACATTGTTTTGGCTTTTTAACGTCATTGAAGAATCTTAATATAACTAAAGATAATCTAATAATTAGGAAACATTTTTTGCAATAATTAATTCTCCAAACATTAAAGCAGAACAGGACAACAAAGAAAATTAAAATAAAATAATTTTATTAGAAAAAATAGTTTTTTTTTTTATCTTACATGTCACCCATTTGTTTGCCATACATTTTTGTAATATGAGAGCTATGTGTTTTTGTACATGAGTACACAGGTGTAAAAGTAAAACCATTGTTTTTACTAATGTCAGTGAGAAAGTACAATAATAAAAAAAAAAACATAAATATGGCCACAAATAAAGCCAGAGTAACAGGAAACATGGAGGTTCAAACTGTTCCAAACAATATTCTTCCATCCATTAATATGGAACATAAATATTTAATCCATAAAATATTTGACCATTTACCATTGTCATTGTTAAAAAGCTTAACAATGACACAAAGCACACACACAAACAAAAAAACCTGAAACGCTACTGTAGAAAACAGATGACTGAATATTTAATGTACCATATTGAGTATGTATTTTAAATGTTCTTGAAATGCAAAACTGCAAAAACCATAAGTTAAAACATTCTGATTTCCAGTGTTATGTATACAAACAATAAGATAGATCATAATACAGAGTGCAAACCAAAACATACAGATACATACAGACACAGATTAATGTGTAACAATGGTTTTCCAGTCTCCAGTTGAGAGAGACAAGAGGTAGAGTTCACTGTTTCACGTAAACAAGTACATTTCAGCTGATTGTTCAGTTCAAGGCTTTACTAGAGCGAGTCAGAGGTAAAACTGTCTTTCTGGTGTGGTAAAACAGCTCCTGACTTTTGTAGCAGTGCCTGTATTTTGAGAGCAGCTACTGGTCCATCTTTACTTTACGTCTTAATACATCTACACACCAGAAAACACACACGGAGTTCCATCTGATGATCTAAAATGACTCAAGGACGTCTGTGGGGTTTCTCTCATTGCTCACTAGCTGCTCTTGAGGCTGACAATGGCATTGATGAAGAACTCGTACCAGAAGAAGGTGAAGCCTGTGGACAGAGCGGCCTTCAATAGACTGGGGGAGAGACCCTTAATGAAACCCCGGGGCCCTTCCTCTCTGCCGATCCTCACCACACAGTCTACAAACCCATGATATGTCTGCACCTGCACAGAAAACGAGTATTAAACTATTCAAGTGTTTTTGAAAGAAATCTCTTATGACTCTCTCTCTAATGCCTTAGGGTTTAGACATTAACAACAGTAATAGTGAAGTCAGTCTAGCAAGCAGAAATAGTTATCGTAGGGACATTGAACCTACAGTCTTTTGGTTATCAGCTCAGATCTTTAACCACTACAGCGCTCCACCTACCTGTCCAAACTTCATCCTGGCCTCTTCAAATCCACCCACTTGAAGTCTCTTCTTAATCAGATCAAAGGGATACGTGATTGTTTTACTGATGACTCCAGCACAGCTACCACTGATCAGACTGTGTAAACCTCCTGAAAACAGACAAGACACCACAGCAACGTCAACAGCGGGACAGAAAGCACCTTACACAAGGTTTGAATCCAGTGTTGATTCAGAGATATGTGCTTTAAGGACAGTGTTGATATTGTCAACTAAAACTATTAGAAATGGCTTCCGCTGAAATAAATAATAAAATATAAATATTAGATGAGCAAAACTTGCATTTAAAAATATTAACTGAAAATGAGAGATGTTGCCCTGTCAACTAAATGAAATAAAATGTAATTGAAAAAGTTTGTTGAAGTGCTAAAATGACTAAAACTAAAAATTAATAAATAAAAATTTTAATTTTTAAATAAAAAAGAAAAGCTAAATAAATAAATAAAAACAAATTAAAATGTAAAAAAAACAATGAAATCACTAAAAGTTTTTAACTAAAATAAAAATGAAAACTGAAAATATAAAAATAAAAGCTAATTGGCTGAACTTTATTAAAGAAAACTAACAAATAAAGAAATAAAAGCCAATTCTAAATATTAATAAATATCATAATAGTACATACAAAACTGAAACAACACGGTTTAAAAAGCATGCTCTGACCTTTAGATTTGGTGTCCTGGGGCTCCAGAAGTTTCTTCAGGATATTATAAAAGAAAAACTGCATGCCTGCGTATGGAAACACGGCCACTAGGGTGGGTGTGAGGCCCCTGTAGAAGGTGAAGGGCCCCTCTGTGCGGAACATTGTGGCCACGGCATGCCTGAGGTTACGATACATCTGTACATATGAGAAAACCTTTGAATTGTGGGAAGTTGCTCATTAAAGTCTACCAGAGAATGACCTTTTAAAATGAACTCAGTTTTTATTACGTTCCGTCCACCCTTTCAGATGAACTCAGACGCAGCACATTAAAAATATGTAGTGACAGGTCATATCACACTCATGAGGCTTGACCCCTGACCTTGGGTTCGCCCTGAGCAGCGAAGCGTGTGCGGAGGGTATCCAGCGGCTGGCAGGCGACGGTGGCGGAGCAGGCGGCCAAACCGCCGCAGATAAAATGCACTCCTGGTGTCTGGCTCTTATAGCTCGTCTTCTTATGGACCAGCTCGGTCAAGGCTTCAAAACTCGCAAACTACCACAAAAAAAGACAAAGAGGACCAATGAGGTTTAAGGGTATTTGTCAAATGTCTACAATTGTGTGAAGGATAATGACAAATGGTTGATCTATCTTTCTAAATGACTAAATAGGATAAGCCACATGTCTACATAGAATTTAATAGAATATAAGAAAAATGTATTGCTACAAGATCAAAGCAGAATATAGTAGAATATAACATTTAATGCTACAGACCACCATCAACAGACCAGCATTATTTATATTAACTAAAACTATAATAATTTTTAAAAAACATTTCCATTAACTGAAATAAAGCTGAAATAAAACACTACATATTAGATGAAAAACTAAAAAAAAAAAAAACGTAAGCAAGAATTAGAAATTGTTGATATTATTGAAATAAATGTTTGTTTATTAAAATGACTAAAACAAAAACAAATAAAAATGAATTAGAAACTGAATAAAACAAATAAGTAAAAAAGAAATAAAAATGACAAGCACATACAAAAACTTTATTTTTACTTAAAAATAAAGAAATATATACATAATCAATTCAAAATGAACGAATAAAACATTGAAATAAAAATAAATGAAAGCTCAATTAGAAATATATATATATATATATATATATATATATATAACAGAAGTACATAATAAAATCATTAAAATATTTGAATTAAAATGAAAATAATCACTAATTCGAAATATGAATATCTACTATAGTAGTATATGAACAATACTAAAATAACATTGATGAGGACAAAATGTATCTTTATCTCGACAGAATAGAATAGAACAGAATGGAATAGAATATTTTTTGCAACAAAATCATAGCAGAACAGAACAGAAGAGAAACTTTTTCTACCCTTACAATAGGATCAGTTTACAGTTTGTGGTTTAATAATTGAACAGGAAGATGATTCTGGCCTCATGAAAATTTTACGTATATTGTGAATATATATGATTTATCTCCACATACCTGAACTGCCCCATAACACACAGACAGCAGCTGGGCAGGAATGTGACCTTTCCAGAAAGCAGGAAGTCCTTCTTCAGTCATAATACAGCGTGTGGCCTGCCGTAAACCCCAGTACTTCCCCTGACGACTCCTCCAGGACACCTGCTCGATCTGCAACTGCAGCATGCACAAAACAGTCAAAACGGTCCTGCTGTGTCACAATAAAGACCAGTTTGAATGTCTAAAAGTGTAACACACTGCCACCTTGAGGCCTGTCCACCAGTTGCTATGGCAGAGAAACTACAAAACAAACTAAATCAAGCACAAAACAGCTCATCGGCTGCATCTTCTGTGTGCATTTATAACCAGTTTAAAGCAGATGAACAGGCCTCTTTGAACTGAGCATGCTCAGTGCCGCCGTGGGTTTGGGAGTGGTGCTAAAATTCCACAGGAAAACGTGACTCATGTTTTAGGCACGATGAAGCTTATGCGAATCAGATGTACTAGAACAGGGACTATTGTGTTCGCTATCGATGAAAACAACTTTAGTTGAATGTGTTAATATTTATGTTTTCATGTACAGAAAATCTGTTCGGAAACCCAAGAGCCCTTTGGCTCAGTGAAATGGAAGTTGTTACCTGAAATCTGATTTTGATGACATCCAGAGGGCTGATGAAGGCACGGGTGACCATACCTGCCGCTGACCCGGCCAGAGCAGCTTCCTCTGGGGAGAGAACCACGCCGGGGGAGTCTGGATCATAGCCCACCATTCCTGCTCAGAAACACAGCCACCGCCGGTGGAAAAACAATTAAATAACATATTAAAAAAATATATAACAACAATCTGGCTGATGTGAATGGATAATAATTTGAGTGGAATAAATGTAAATAATGCAAGTAATAAAATAAAAAATTACAAATTATAATATGAAAATAAAAATCTATATAACTGGAGTGCATGGATGGCAACTACAGATAAATAAATCAAATAAAAATAACATGAAAATATCAAAATAAAATATAAGATATTTAAGTTATTTTTGGTTACACTTTATTTTAAGGTGTCCTTGTTACAGTGTAATTATACATTTACAGAGAAATATTAATTAAATACATGTGTTTACTATATGGTTAGGACTAGGGTTTGTCTTAGGGGTACTTGCATGCAATTTTTGTTATTATAATAGTAAGTACATGTAACGTGCAACAAGGACACCTTAAAATAAAGCTTGCCGTTATTTTATATTTAGTATTTTCAAAATATAAAAGCATGTATGTTAAATTTGACAGCAGTTGACAAAAACACAATGGCTGCGTGTCAAAACCTATTGAGCTGCCTATCTAGACAGTGTTTAGATGGGCAGCTTTAGATGCTTTCGTCTGGAAAATGCAATTGATGCCCAAAATGTTGTCTTGGTAAGCAGCTCTTTGTGGTTTGAGACACAGCCAGTGTTGCGCTGCTGCTACTAAGTTACACACTACAAGTAGACGCTTACAAATACAGACTCGCGAAAACGCAAACATACCTTTCTGGTGTGCACTTCAGTGTTCCCCTGTAGAATCTGCTCTTGGTGAGGCTCTCGCTCTTTCTATGAGTGCATAGCAGCAGTGTGATGTTAGAGGACACCTCCTCATGCTCCTCTGCTGCACAGCACACAATGACAGAGCGGCGCGACTGTGTTTACTGACCGTGTCTGACTCCACACCGAGAACATTGGTTCCTACCTTTTTATTTTAATTGTAGTACTTTTTTATTTCATTTCGAATGTATTGACATTTATTTTAATAAACGTTTTATAATAATTGATTTGACACAACAATAAAATAGTAAAATAAAGTAAATCAATAAAAAGGAATAAAAATACTTTTTAATACACATCGGAGGTAAAAAGTAGTTACAAACATGCTTGTTATTACAGTCATTACATTAATTATTCGTAGAAATGTTCGTTTTTATTGATGTTAAGTAGTTAAAATGTAAATATAAACATGTGCTCATAAAGCTGAGGTGAAAATTGTACCCCCCTCCCCCCCCCAAAACAAACAAATTAAGTATTTTTTGAATATTTAACTGAATACATAATAGAAAACATGTAGAGTAAATACAAAGCAGATTAACAATTATTAAATATTATAAAAAATAGACAACTAAAAATATAAATAAAATATTCTTTACCACATCAAACCTCTGAATGATACAAGAAACGTGTGTAAATATATATATATATATATATATATATATAGCTAGATGTATATATACATACAATCGCTCATATGCATAAGGGAGGGCAAGTAATTAGAAACAAACTAATCTTTACAGTCATTACATTAATTATTCGTGAATGTTTACAAGATGAATACAAAGATGTCTTTTGAATTGATTCATTATTGAGAACATAATGCAAAACATATACCTAGAATAGTTAACAACCATTGAATCAAATAAAAGAGTCTGTCCTGAATTGTGAGGCCACGCCCACATCCTGGTGTGGCCTCCGCTGATTGGTCAGCGACGCACTGAAAGCAGGAACTGAGGGTCGTGGGATTTTGAGAGAAGCGGTCAGCTGCTGTCATGTGCGTGGTTTTTAATGACAGGTGATGAAGAAACATGGATCAGCTTGTCGGGGCTCTGTTACTGCTCTTCTTATTGCAGTTACCGGCTTCATTTGATGCGCCCAATGGAGATGGAGGAGGATGGTGAGAGAAATACCATATGGATCACTGGCCGTGTCTCAAAACCAAGCGGCTCACTTTGTTTTGAAACTCAGACACTGTGATTCAACTCAAATCCTGACAGCATGCAGTTGATCACCTAATTGAATGAATAAAGCTGTGTGAGCGAGATCAATTATGTTTTGTCTTTCAGGGGACTGGGGTCCAGTATTGAAGATGAAGGCGAGTGCAACATTGAGATCAGAGATGTGAACTCAATAACACACACACAGTTTATTAAAGAGTAAGAACAACACACATACACATGTAGAGTTAGTTGATAGACATTTTAGTCACGTAAAACATGGATTTCATTGCATTTTTTTAGTGCTGAAAGCAACTTTCAATAATATAAATGGCATTACACATTATAGCATACGTAGATAAATATTTATGTAATCCTAATGTATTTTTCATTGTATTTTACAGGTATGCTTATGCAAAACCAGTTATACTCCGAGGACTCACAGATAACACCGTAAGAGTTGTGGTTATACTGTATATCAGGTGTTTATTGCTGCAAGTTCTTATTGATTCCATTACTTTTTAAAAATAATTTTGCATTTCAAGCATCATAACGGAACACAGACTGAGACACTCATATTAATCATACTATAACAGAGAAATAAACCATCATACAAGACATTAATCCAAATAAAATAAAATATATTCATGCAACCACAAACAATGTAGGGGATTAAACAAAATCACACGTATTAAACAAATCAAATAATTTCTTGGCTTTATCACTTCTCATAATTTTCAGGACCTCTGTATACATGGCAAGCTCCTTTTTAAAGACATTCAACTGGGGTGCTGTTTTCAGAACTTTACATTTGTGAATAAAGTATTTTAATATGAGGAGTAAACAATTTACAACAAAGTCTACACTTTTGTCCTCCAAAAGAACTCCAAATTTCAACACGTCCCAAGTAATGGATGGAAAAATAGATATTCTTTGTTTAATCCAATTACATACTTCAGCCCAAAACGAATTAACCAGATAACAATGGAAAAATAAGTGTTCAACAGTTTCTACATCATTATTACAGAATTGACAAATATTACAATCCACATTAAATCTTAATCTCAGAAATTCCTTGGCAGGATAAATATCGTACACAATTTTAAAGTGCACTTTTTTAATATTTTGGTGGAAGAGGAAATAACTAATATTTGTATCTAAATTCATTAACTGATTTCCTATTTAGATGTTGGACCAGGATAGCTTTCCTGCACAAGATCATTTCTTATAAACGTATTAGTACACTTCTCATCTACAAAATTTATTTAGCCTAATTTAAGATCCAAAATCTTGGGAATGATAGTGGAGTATGTTAAAATCCCCTTTAACATATTAAGGAATGGTAA